GATACAAGGACTGCCTGAAACAGTCCCTCAGCCTTGGCAATATTGACCACAACCATTGGTCTACCCTGGCCTCCAATCGGGAGGCCTGGAGACACACCATCTATAATGCTGCTGCTGCTTTCGAGAACACACGCAGGATCACTCTCGAGGAGAAAAGACAACGCAGAAAGAATCGCGTCTTGTCGATATCACCTGGGGAGTCTTTCTGCTGCACCTTCTGCAACCGGACTTGTCTATCTCGCATTGGCCTTTTTAGCCATCAGCGTGCTTGTAGCAAGCGTGGGTAGAGCCCCTCTCAAATCTTCGTTCGCGAAGCCTAGCCATGATTTATAAAATTACAAATAAAATTTAACAATTTAACACATTTTCTTTAAACATCGAAGATGATTTAAAGATTTGCTAATTTCTAAGCAATATCGTAAGTGAAAATGTATTTGGTCTTACATTTAAATGTGAAAAATTTAAATTTAATAACTCCAGTTTTAAGTTAATTCTTGGTGATTTGATATCATCTGGCATTGTCTAAAGTGCTCTGCCATTGATTGCAGGAAGTATTGCCAAATAAACCTGCTTTATAAGGTGTATTTGGTGTCGATGTGGCCTCACTTTGAGTACTGTGTGCAGTTCTGGGCCCTACCATTTCAAAAGGACGTGAAGTTGCTGGCAGGCATGTTCTGCAAGGAGTGGGTGAGGATGCTGGGTTTGTCTAGTGGAGAGAGAAGGAGGCTGAGGGGTGACACACAGTCCTGCCCCAGGCAGTTTCAATGAGTTTATTTATAGAGTTTTAAAAGTCTCTTCTGTAACGTATCGATTTGTTTAAAAAGCAAAAAACCTCCTCTATCAAGAAGAACAACGCAGAGGTATAGAAGGGTAGCTGAGTGGCCTGCAGTAGTATTCAGATCATTAAAACTGCTTCATGCACGAAGTCCTAATGTGGTTTAGAGCCTCTTATAGAGGGGTAAACAACAAGATGCTGAAACTTTTATATTTCTTTTGAACTTTGTTTTGTAATTATCTGCTCCGGTTTGACTTCAGTTTGCACAGTTAGCTGTGATACACGCTCCTACTGTAGAAGGGAATGCCTTCAATGCACCATGCTGGGCTTTAGAAAAGACTTATAGTTCTGTTTTACAAATAATTAGGTCTTCCATGATGGGTAGAAGGGCTATCAGCCCGATTTCTTTTTGTACCTCCCCAAGAAAAGTTCTTCACAGAGAATTCTACCATACGCTGTGCTTGCTCTGCTCTCACACAAAGCTGGTTTTGAGGCCAGCCCACAAGCCCTTTGAATCAAATGAAAACACGCAGACATCATCTTGCTAGTTGTTGTGGTAACTGAAAGTAAATGTGGACCTTTTTATTAGTGTGCCTCAAGCACTCGGTAAATGCAAGCATGTATAACACGTGAAGAGTTAATGTAATTGGTTTTGTAGTTTAGCTGGGACACCTGCTGGTGTATGAGATAGAGCACTGTTCCTGACATGCCACCGTAGACAAGATTTTAAGCTTAGTGTTGTTTTCTTTCTAATAGTTATAAATACCTCTCAATAGCAGTCCAGGAAGGCTAAGCAGCTAAAGAAACCAAACAAACACTGGCCATGCTTCTGTTAGCTGTAGCACTGGCATAGTGATAACCATTTGACAAGATAAATGGCCAGTGTTGTTCTGATGCCAGTCTTTTGGAACGTTATCATTTGTTCTTCAGGAAAAACAGAATTACTTTTGTAGTTCACATGCCTTCAAAGAAGTAAATATGTGCTACTGGGGTATTTATGAAGCTCTGCCAAAAATTTAAGCTAAATTATAACAACGATGTAGCTTCTAGGAAGTCTTGGTTCCTGACACTTCAAACTATAAAAGATGCCTTTTAAATCGGTTACATCTGTTACACTGAATGAAGCTGCTCTGAAGTACATTTTTGAAACTATTAAATCAAATAAAAGTAATTTTTTGCTCACTCTCTCAATTTTAATCTCTTAGATTTATTTGCTTTAAGCTTTATTGTAATGTATCAGCTCAGCTTCTCCCCTCTGTTGTCCAGCATCTGCTGGGAATTTGATATATTATGCACTTCCAGTCTGTTTAAGGAAAATATCCATTTTCTCTGAGATACCTGTTTGTAGCTTTCTGGGAACTACATTAACTTTGTAGAAATTACAAGCTTCATGTGTGTATGAATACTAATGACATGAGTGTATCAATATCATTGATGATGAGGTCCTTTCATTAGTGTGACAAGAAAAATTTGCGTTGAATTTTAGGGTCTGTTTTGACCTATTCAAAAAGTAGACATTCCCTCTCATAAAGGGGTCTATGAGGGTGTGTTAAAACTAAGAGAAGCATATTCCAAAATAAATTGTCAGTACCTCAGTAACTTGGTTACAAATGGAGTGAAGCTCTTCTGTGCTATTCCTTCCTCCCACTGCCTCCTGTGGAGGGGTGGTGGGACTGGGAGTGTCTGGTCTCAGAGGGTCTGAGATTCTGCACAGTGGTTCCCACTCATTTTTCTTTACAGAACTTACAGATAAAAAAAAAAAATCCAGTGCAAAAAGTTGGTAAATTTTGGAGTCGTGTGAACTCAGTCTACATTCCTAAGTGTCTTCAATAAAAATCATCATGATTTTTTAGCATCATTTAAGAGGTTTGGAAGGTATTTGATATTTCATGTCCCTTTCTGGCTTAGAAAATCTTGAGCCATGCATCTAGTTCTCTCACAGTGTCTTCCGAAGATACTCTTTCCATGCATGAAAGATCACACAAAGTTTCAAGTCAAGGGAAGAAGAGTTAAATAGATGTTTAAAATATGGATGCTAAAAAAGTATTTTAGTTTTCAAAGTTGCACCATAAAAGCTGAATCTCAGCTGTGTCTTTTCCAAAATGTGCTAGGTGTATAAATATTGCCTCAATAAAGTAAATAACTAGCTAAATTTGGACCCTGAAAATTAACCCTATTGCTGGAATTTTCAAAAGTGACTGACAGACTTTCATTTACTTAGTTAGTTGGTTGGTTATTAAAGTAGTTACTATCATACTGGCTTTGATGCTAACAGAGGTGGATTTTTTTGGAAGTGTCTAATCCTGCATTTTTGCAAGAGATTTATTAATATTTTTAGGATAAGCCACTGCTTGCCAGCAAGTTACTTAGTTTGACACACATGCATGTCAACGCAGAATCACTTCAGTGTACCCTAAGTTTTAGTCTGAAATCTCTCTCTCTGTTTCCACCTTGAATAGAAACTGTTCTCCTATAAAGAAGCATATCTGTGTATAGTTGCTCTATAACTGTGCTGTGTAATCAAGGTGAGATATCTATAATACAAATACTTAGGCTGCATGCTAGGCTTTCTGCCTTGGCTTCTGTAAGGAGTGGATGTGCGTGGAAGGTGTGTGTGCTGTTGCCTTTCTCTGCCAGAGTCCAGTTCAGCCCTCCCGCTGGTTTAGATGGAAGGGCACACTTTGGACTCCTCCTGTTAGGGCGCCAGGGTGTGTAGGAGATGTGTTTCCTCACCCCGTACTTACAACTGGAAATGATTGTAAGGGTGTAAATGGCACCAAGCAATTAAAGTAAGTTCTTTTAGAAATATTCAGCTCTTTTAAGAGAAACAGCTAATTCTCAAAGGTCTTTTTGCGTGTGTAGACAATAAAAGGTCTCAGAGGAGTATTTGAATAGTTGCTATGCATACGGTTATTTTTGTACTGTCCTGTGACTACACAGTAAGGTCTATTGTGGGATCCTTACTGTTACAAAGAAGGGTAGAATAGGCAGTTGCTGCAGGAATGTTCTGGAAGTGCCTGCTGTTTGGAGGGGATGACCAAGTATAAAGTCCTGTTAATCATAAGCCTGTATCTAATGACATGCTCTTAATAGTGACTTTGGAAACAAATACTGCTTTATACCCTTGAATATCCTGGTTTGTTTTGCTGGCTCAACTTACTCTTCTGTGATGTTCCTCAGAAGGAGTTAGAGCTTCCATGTGTATCTAACACCTAATTTTTCTGATTGGCGTGATTGTCGTGTGAGTCACAAAAGGTGTACAACGAGCTGAGTTTATAAGGGCCAGGGTCTGTTTTAGCGAAAAAGAAACTGTGGCGGGGGGCGGGGGGAGAAGGGTTTGGGGAGAAGGAAGCCCTGGACTGCAGCAATAATGGCTTTTCTGCCTAGAGGCGCTGGTGCCTCTGGAGTGGCAGGAGAGGTTTCCCATTGGAGCTCCCGTAGCGGCCCCTGATGGCAGGTTCTACCGATGGCACTGAGGAGGCAGCTTCAAAAATAAGCATCAGTGGAAATGTGCTGCTTGACTGACTCCTCTGTAATCAAGGGCACTGTGAATATGTTCAGCCTGGTGTCAGCAAGGCTAACTGCAACTGATATTTTCCCCCACCTAGGTGGGTTTTGTGAAACAGTTATTTCATGAACATTCTTGAGTAGAATCACTACAGACATAATGTTGAATTTTGTTTAAACATCTCTAACTGGGAAAAAAAAAAAAGTTTCTTAATCAGCTTGCCTATTTATTTTCAGCAACAGGTATGCAAGATGATGGTGCAACAGGAAAAAGGATGAGAAAGTTAAGTGTTGGGCAGTATGACAATGATGTCCCTGGGCAGCCCTCGTGTAACAGGTGTGGATGGATGACATCTCCTGCTACTGACCAGGCTATAATTCTAGAATCACCAATTGCTCTAGGGGAGACTAAGGAGGTAAACAATGAAGAATTTTTCAAGAAATACTTACTGAAGTGAATGGCCATCTTCATGTTCGGTGTCCAAAATCAACGTGAAGCAATCGGGCAGTTGCATCATGGCAAGAACAAATGACTGCAGTTACCTCAGAAATGCAATTCAGTGTTCAAGGACATCCTGCTCCTATCTATTCTGTGTGTTTGCATGTTTTTCAGTGTTCCAAGATCTCTCTGCTGGAACAGTAGATCGTATTATA